AGTAAGAAGAGGCAGTTCCAAGCCAAAGTATGCAATCTAAAAAGGTAGGAAAAGAAGTGGAAGAAAAGATATGCCCAGTTTTACAGATTGGAAGCCATGGCACTGACTGATTAAGGATTTTTTTTAGTGACCAGCCAGATTGCCTGAAGTCCTATTAGATTTGTTTTGAGACCTCATCTACTGATGCCCAGGACAAGGACTATAGAAAACCCACATTTCTTTCTCATCATTGGCATAAAATTTGAGTGACTTTTTGAAAAGTGCAGAGCACATAGATTACAGGTGACCAGCACAGAGCTGGGGCAAGGAACAGCTTCTGAATTGCTTGTGTGGAGACTTTTGAGATTTCTTGACAAACAAAATACTAGGCATTGCACCTGCTTTATTGCAGAGAAGTGTTATAGAACACCCATCTGAAATATATACCTTGAATTCAGCATCACAGCACGGTTTCCAAATCACCAGGGCCATAAGAATCTATTTGAAGCCGATCCAATTTGCTTAAATTACCTCTCGTCGAATGCCTGCAGCCATGAACCCTTGCCGTAGTGAAGAAGCTTTGTTATTACGTTGGATTGTGTTGACACCAGAAACTATTAGGCCTTACTTTGAAATGAATTCTTTTATGTCCGGAAAATGCTTAGATTGAAGAAGTGGACTGTGGTTTTCCAGTGCTTATGGGTGATAAATCTGTAAATAGAAAAAGAGAAGAAGCTGTTATTAACAAACTTAAGCCAGCAGGGTAGGCCAACTGGTGCTTTCCCCAAATAAATTCCTCAGGCATGTCATGAATTAATTGTCTAAGGTAGAATAAAGCAGGTTTAATTATGAATACTTTTCTGAGCAGGGATGTTGCAATTAGTTATTTTTGAAAGATATCTTTATGGGGCACTTTAAATACTATGTATATCTAATTCCTGACTGATGCTCAAAGTGTTAGTTTACTGTTCTCTGAGTCAGTTCTTACTGTGTGGTTTGAAGGTTGAACAGCATAGCTTTTCGTAGGTATGTGTCAAACATATAGAAAATAAAGGTCTTTTTAGTAATTTTTATAAAGACAGTTTCCTATTGCAAAGCTAAGATACACAGGTACTTTGGTTAGATATCCTACTAAATAATAGACAAGAAAATATTATTTAATGATTACTAGTGAAAATGTTGAAATTGATAGTGGCAGTTTCTGTAAGAGCCTAATAGATTTTCAACAAAAATTAGAAGTATGTGCACAACTTCACAGTATCTTCTTGTTCCTTACTGAAAGATGTCTGTTGCTCCAAAGACTGTTAACAATAAGTCCAAAACCTAAACCCTTAACAATACTGGACACAGTGCACGTGTACCCACACGTGTACCACAGTGGATGTGCATAAGTACCCACATTTCACAAGTTTGGGGGTTTTTTAGGTGATAAAGACCCAAACAGTATGTCTGTGATTTTCTTCTTTAAAATAGGAAAATATTAAAGAATCACTTCCATGAATCACTGTTTGGAACTTTGTTGTCATTTATTGCTCTGTGTTTTTGTTCCTCATTTCCCAGCACTAACTGGCCTTTATTTCTGTCTCTGTCTCTTTTTCTACACGTTGATGCTGCTCTGCACTCTGGTTTCCTGACTCTCTGGTTGGGACTTGTCACTTCTCTGAAGGTCTCTACTGCTCGGTAGTTGCCTCCTCAGTCTGTCAGGATGGTAGAGCCTTATGTGTCCACTCCTCTCAATTTAACTTTATTCTTCTTCTGCTGTCCCTACAGCTGTCAGGTTTCTATATGGTTTTCCATATCTCATTCCAGGCAGCTATTCTATTTTGTGGTTTTGTTGGTGGTGGTTTGGTTTGGTTTGGTTTGGTTTTTTCATTTTTGATCCTACAAAATAGCTTAATTTTCTACTTTACTAATGAACTATGGACTTTCTTTTATAACTCTGTGAAGAAATATCTGTGCATGCTGATTTCTCCATAGAGAAAGTGGAGGCTATAAATATGGTAATATCCCTTTTGGCTTTACAAAGTTTAATTGCTTTGTATATTATGCAGATTCTGAGGCTGAAAAATCTGATGAGAGCAAGTAACACATTTGTATATTCACTATCTTAAAAATGCAGGCAGATTGCTGAGAAGTGTGCCAGTTTTTTTGAGTTTGCAGGTTTACGTCTTGTTGCTGTTATTACAGGGTGTGTAGGGTGCTTACGTGGCTGATGTTTGTCACCGAATGCAAACATCGTGTTTCTAAACTGTGCGTTTCTCAAAGCCTGTGAAAAGCACTTGGAGCAGCTGCTGCTGCCACCCTTGTACATGCCGAGACCACAGGAATCAGAGCTGGAAGGGACCTCAGGAGATGAACCAGTAAATCGCTACCCTAAAGCAGGATCAGCTAGTTCTGAACATTTCCCAACAGTCACTGAATTTTGAGCTCGAGGCAATAAATCAAGAAGTTCTCATACTGTGTTTGATACTTTAAATGATTTTTCTTTTATTGGTGTAAGTATAAAACAGAGGTGTAATCCAGAATATTTCACTGTGATGCCTGAAAATTTTTTGTTTGTTTTTTTTTTTTAAACCAAACAAACACGTGCTTATGATATCTGCAAAAGTTCTGGGCCCTGAAGTCAGTATGTCCTGGAGATGCTAGGGGTGTAAGGTAGACACCGAAATACCTCACAAAGTTAGGAGTCAGTATAATGCTTCAAGCACCTTTTCTGCTCTGTTGGCTTTTCTAGTGACATTAGAAGAAGGACTCACCCCTGAACACCCCGTCGGAAGCGCAGGCTGCTGTATTTTAGCTATCTTTGAGAGAGAAACTTAGATATTAATAACTAGGAGTCTTCCAGTGTCCTAGTTTCAAGGATCACCATATTCAGAGAGATGGTGTGCTTTGATCTGGCCACTTGCCTTGAAGTTTTTCTTCACTAGAGGCAAATGAGAGAAAAAAGAAAGCAAAAGTATTGATTTGCAAAATTCAAATTAGACAACATAGATACAGAATTTCATGAAGGAAGATGGAAAGAAAGGAAATTCAAATTGTTCATGTATTCCTTAGAATAGTTCAAAATATGTCTTAATTTCAAGATCTATCTTACAGGCTGTTAAAATATTCAGAATCCTGTGGCTGAGTAGCCATTTCTGCATGGATCTAATCCACTTTTTGTGTACAATTGGAATCTCCCCATAAGTAACTTGTACCCATTACCCTTCCTCTTTTCCATGTAACTCTTTGTGAAAAGGGGATCTCCATCATCTGTGTAGCCACCCTTTAAATACTGGAACATGGTTATAAGGTCTCTCCTAAGCCGCCTTTTCTCAAGGCTGAACAAGCCTGGTTCTCTCTGTGTTTCCTCATATAGCTGCTGCCCAATCCTTTGATCATCTTTGTTACCCTGGTCTGATTCCTCTCCAGCCTGTTGACATGTCTTGTGTATTATAGTGGGAACAAAACTGAACACAGTGTTCCAGGTGTGACAAGATCTGATTAGTGGAACAATGACTCACTCCTTTATCTCTACTAGAGATGCCCTTGTTGATACCAACCGGCATCCAGTTGGCTTTGTTTGCTGCAGCTCCACACTGTTCACTCATGTTGAGCTTGTTGGCCATGAGGACCCCCAGATCCCTTTCCACAGAGTTGCTCCCCAGCCACACAGCATGTGCCACGCTCCTAGATTGTATTTTCCCATGTGCAAGACCTTACACTTGTCCTTGTTGCACTTCATAAGGCTCTTGTTAGCCCACTCTTCCAGCCTATCTAAGTCTTCCTGCACGGTGACTCTCCTTTTTGAACTGTCCTCTTCCCCACTCAGTTTGGTATCATTAGCAAACTATGTCAGGGTATACTTGATCCCATCTTCCAGATCACCTTACGAAGATATTGAACAGCACTGGGCCCAGTATCAATCCCTGAGGGACCTTACTTGTGGCAGGTTACCAGTTTGAAAGGAGCAATTTAGTACTTTCCTCTGGGTGCTGCCTGTCAGCCAGGGCCTCACCCACAGCATGGACCATTTGTCTAGACCACAACATCAGTTTCTCTAGGAGGAGGCAGTGGGAAACTGTATTGAAATCCTTGGAGAAATGCAGGTAGTCAATGTCTGCTGCTCACCCCATGTCAACCAAACAGGTTACTTTGTTATCAAACACGATTTGCCCTTGGTGAATTCATGCTGGCTTTTCCAGTCACGTTCTTCATTTGAGTTCACGCTGCCTTGGAGACGATACTTCCGATATTGATGCAGAGGCATTGGATAGGGCTCTCATGAACGTGCAGCATGACTCCTGCTTCTCTTCTTCCCCACCTCTCTTTGTCAAACAGCCTATAGCCACCCATTGTGATCCTTCAGTCATATGATTTGTCTCACCATGTTTGTTATTCCTGTGATACCATTGCTTTCTGTCTGTGCACAGAGCTCCAGTTCCTCCTGGTTGTTCCCAGGCTGTGTGCCTTGGTAAACATACACTTGAGGTGGCTGGCCTTCTGGTTCTCATCCTGGGAGGCATCTAAAGGACACTTGTTGCTTCTCTGGTTGGCCTGGCTTATTCCATGATGTGTTTTGACTCCCCGATTCCCCCAAGTTCTTCAGTTTAAAGCCCAGCTCACCAAGTTGGCCAGTTTGCTGCAAAAGATTCTTTTGCCTCTTCTAGGGAATCAAGATGAGTTCATAATCCCTAGCTTGTGTAGACCCAGCATCACAACTTTGGGTTGTCTAGAGCTCTTTCTGGATCTGTTACTCCTTGGTAATTTACAACAGAATCTTATATATATATAAATATAATATATAAATTGTACAAACTGATACTTTTTAAAATCTCATTTAATTTTCCTGTATGTTGACTCTTTATATACATTGATCATGCTATTTAATACACTAGTACTTCAACATTTTAAATTTAGTTACTTTTTCATATTTTAAAATAATATATAATTTAATGGAGGTAGTTATTAATACAAAGATGGAAAACATAGGTTATAATGTTCTAATCTGTCAAAAAATAACAAACTCTTTTTTCCAATAGGTGTTAAGAGTGTACAAAGCTGCAGTACAACAGACTTTGGATGTACTCTTTCTCCCTGAAGGAAGAGAGTTTCTTACAAGCACAGATGCAGTAAGCCGGGACTCAGCTGATCGTACCATCATTGCCTGGGATTTCCAAAGTGCTGCAAAAATCTCCAACCAGATTTTTCATGTAAGATTAACAACTAGTATTGTTTGGGTCATGTTTTAGTATTTCATACTTGTCAGTGTAGTAAAAAAATCCCTTTTGATTTTCAATAAGATCATCATATGATGTATAAGATGCTCTTAATGTAAGTTGATGACTTGCTTTGTTTTCACATGTAGAACTTAATTGTTCCTAAAAAATGACCTTGAAGACTGAGGTCTCCTTGTGTTTAAAATATTTACATTTCAGTGTTAATTCACTGACATCTGAGCTATATTTAGGCAAGGACTCCACAGTGTCATTTTAGTTTGCCAGCGGTGCGTGGCAGGAGTTGCTATAGTGCCACATTTCTTTTCCCACACTTTTTCATACATTTTTTATCAGCTGCACTGAGGGCTATTGAGAAACTGAGTTTAATATTCACATAGTAATAGCAACCTGATACATGCATACAGATCCCTAGTACAGCATAATCACAGAGGCAAAATTTGCGTTTATCAGTGCAGGTGCAGTGTTTCTCTCAGTCAGCTATCCAAGCAAGACATTTAATGGACTAAATTGTCTAGGAAGACTGACAGCTTCAAAGGAGATTACCAAGGAAGTTAATAGATAATTTCAACTCCCTGGGTCTTTTTTGAAAACCCAAGTCTAATATCCTATGTAATATAATATAATTGGATTGTATATAGATGCTTTTTGGCTGAAATGAACAGTTCTCTTCTGACAAGGACATGTAGTTGATGATTAAATGGAATTGTTTCATGTTTAATTTTCATAGTTATGTCTTTGTCTTTGGACCTATCAACATCTTAATAGACAATAGGAAGAAAAAAATCCAACTGTGAATATATAAATTACAGACCAGACAGGTTCAGTATCAAGGAACAACAAATAAACAAATAAACATCCCCTCCCTCTCCCCCTCCTCATGACTACAGCATCTCTGAAATGGACTTCTCACCTACCCCCTGCCTCCTTTTCTGCACTGTGAATAAACAAAACTTGGTAATGATTTTGAACACTGCTTAATTTTTCTGAATTTCACCTTTGAAACCTTCGAGGTGGAAGGAAACCCCTCATCTCTCCATATAGATTAGGTCCCAACAGGACTTGATCTATTGCATTAACAAATGAATAGTTAAGAGATCTAAACTAATCCATTACTTCAGCATCCCCAGCATAACAGCACAGTGCTCCTGCAGATTGCATTGTGCTTTCTGATCTCATACTGATAGACCCAGTTTCTTCCTGGAAACACGCAGTGTTTTTTGCCCAGTACCTTATAGTACTCAGGACTTCCTTCCCAGTCCTTCACTTCCAACTCACACTACAAAAACAGTCTGATGGAGTCCCCATGCAGAGTTCTGAAACTAATCTTAATTCAGTCTTAAATAGGAACTCTAGAGTAAAACAAGTCTTATTAATTACTATAGATATTTATGAATTTACAGGCAGCAGCAGACTACATCACTGTCATAAGGAGGCTAATAATGATCCTTTTTATTTTTTTTAATAAGAATAGGGTGAGGAAAGGTGTCTCTTTCAGTGAGGTGTTTTCTGTTCCTGTCAGTGTGGCCAGAATTGAGAGGATGGAGGATTTGAGAACTGTACAAAGTAGCATGGAAAGCACAGTATGACTGTGGACGAAGGGATATGGGAGAAGAGGATTCACTTTCACATTCAAACTTTGATTTTCCTTGGCAGGAAGAGGATGATTGAGAACCATCTGGTTGGAATTATCTTTCTTAAGTTGTTCTGCAGTATAATTATGGTTTAGAGAGATGTGTGATTTTGGTCAATATCTAGGAAATTGAGGTAGAGATTTAATTTAGCATTTGTCTTAATGGAAGACTTTCAGTGGTTTGTTATTAGTTAAGTAACTTTATATAATGTATGCTATGGAAAGGACTTCTGTATACTTTGTCTTTTATGGGCTCTCAAATATGTCAAAAGATAACTTGAATCATTTGAGCAAATATTTTATTTCATACAACAAAACCTTCTTTAAAATTATTTTCAGGAGCGTTACACTTGCCCAAGTCTGTCTCTGCACCCAAAAGAGTCTGTATTTGTTGCTCAGACAAACGGGAACTACATGGCTTTGTTTTCTGCGCAGCGACCGTACCGGATCAACAAAAAGAAAAGATATGAAGGACATAAGGTATTCTTCTTCATCAAGTACTCAGTATCCAAGTTGAAAAGGAAGACAGATAGCAAAGTACCTCTGCTTCTAATAGTAGTATATGTCTAATAGTACCTATGTCTTCTAATAGTGTTTTTTTATATATCAGTGATAGATATTAATTGGCTTCATTTGCTTTCCTGTGTCCCAGTGTATTTTGAATCATATGCACTCTGAAGAAAATAGTTATTACAAGACTTTATGAATGCTTAATAGCTTGATTAAATAAGTTTGTAGTAGTATAGCTGTGTTTTAATAAACACATGGAGAAGTCTTTAGTATGTATTTATTTAAAGATACATTTTTTTTGATACTATATTAGTTTTCAGTATACAACAATTAACTTTTCTAATCAGCATCAAGAGTTACACTGTTATTGATTTTCACAGGTGGAAGGATTTGCAGTGGGCTGTGAATTTTCTCCAGATGGAACACTTTTGGTGACAGGAAGTTCAGATGGCAAAGTGTTTTTCTACAACTATCATACTTCTAGGATTATTCGCACGTTGTCTGCACATAAAGAAGCTTGTGTGAGTGCAATATTTCACCCAGTCTTGCCATCACTCCTTGCAACCTGTGACTGGGCTGGAGAAATCAAGATCTGGCAATAACAAGGAGGGTTAATTTTCAGGATGTCTTCTGTTAGTCTGTCAAAGGCTTAGGAAATAAACCAGGTTATGCAATGTGAATTTTTGTTGTGTTGTGTTGTAAGCAGGAGAGAGAGTGTTATCTTTTCTTCTATGACCTCTAGGTGTATGCATTCATAATGTGGTGAAGATGGTCTTGTGGTTAACTGCTGAGCAAAGAACTGTTCCTACTCTCTCCCTCGGCCCTGGTGACAAATTTCTGACCCTTTTGTGTCAGTTTTCTGGTGCTCATCTAATCCAACCCTGATTTGAGTACTTAAACTTAAGAAAATTATCTTATTATGTAATCTTTTTAATGCAGTTTCTTAAACCAGGTTTTGTCATAGAATCATGGAATCATTTATGCTGGAAAAGGCCTTTAAAATCATCAAGTCCAAATCCTAACCCAGCTCTGCCAAGTCCACCACTAAATCACATTTCAAAAGTGTCACATCTACAAATCTTTTAAATATCTCCAGAGATGGTGACTCAACCACTTACCTGGGCAGCCTGTTCAACCTAACAACTCTTTTGCTGAAGAAATTTTTTCTACTATCCAATCTAAACTTCCTCTGTCGCAACTTGAGGCTGGTTCCTCCTGTCCTCATCAAAAGTCGAAGACATGCAATTTAACAGAGGATGATGTTCAGATCAATTATTGCCTATTTCATCTTCCTGGGATTTCCTGGGATTTTTTACCCACTACTTTAAGCTAGTTTAGCTCCCTGACCTGATCACTGAAGGGTTAGAGTAGCAATACTTCTGAGTTCAAGGAAGGGGTAAGATCATAGGGCAGGCGGGACTGCTTTTTCTAGATATGGTTAGTCTCTTATTAGCTCAACTTACTGTAAAATGTCTTCTGAAGGTTTCAGAAAAAGATGTGATAGACAATTTGAACCAAATATAGAAGTCAATACATTTGTGTTTTTGAAATTCTGATGTCTAAACTTGAATGTATGACTGTATATAAACAGAATGAAACTATGTGCGAATATTTTTGAGGAACAATAAACTTCTTTTTTATACATTATGTATCTATTCACCAGTTTACTCCTATTATTCTTGACAAGTTAGTACACAAAACTATAGTGGAATTGATGCTTAAGGGGGAAACAATTAACATTACACTAATTTATTGCAAACACATACGCATTTCTCCATACTTATTGATGTCACTTAGACACAGAAAATTGTCATCTTATTATTCAGTGCAGGGAATGGTTTTTTGACATTCAGACAGGAGCTTGGCAATTCTGCAGCAAATAGAAAATTCATTAGGCCATCATTGTGTATTTTCATATATATAGATTGTTTGTAAGTGTAAGTTTGTGTTCCCTGCACTGGTATTGCTTGGTTCTAGAAAATATTTTGTATGCACGTGTATGTTTTTTAAAACCTCAGGCAGCCAGGTCTGTCTGTATGAAGGATGGGCAGCACTGTAGTTGTTCCTGTTGCATCTTGGTATCTCCACAGGAGATTAGGTGTTATTTTATTACATACAGAGTTGAGAAGGGCCTCTGAAATAAATGTGAATTCATGGTGGAAATGCCTTATTGAATGAAGTGTGAGCTTATGTGAACACTGCTCTATACTGAAGAAGCTCTCAGCACCTTCAGCCTCAGCTGAGAGCATGTCTGTGTAGAGGAAATGTCCTGGAAGAGTAGTACTTGGGAATCATTGCACATATTGCTTAGAAAAGTAACTGCATTTTATAAGGTTACCCTTGTTGTTGCTTAAGTTCATCTTGTGTGCTGAGGCACGGTTCTGGTGTCTAGTATTTATTGCTTCTGGAATTATCTTGAAAGTATAAATTTTAGACTGTCTGGTGGTAGAGAGGGAGGGAAAAGCTTCAGTTTGGTTAAAGGCAGTAGACAAAAGTGAAAGAAACTTGAAAGTTTATAATCTTAAAGAATATTAAAATTAGAATTGCATTTGTGTCAGATTTCCAAGATGGCTGGAGTTTAATTAATTATGAGATCCATCCAAAGGTTTTTTAATGCAATGAAATTATTTTCACGGCATTATCTTGTTAAAATATCTTTCTAATATAAAAGTGATTAAGATGCAGACTGAAATTTAGTAATTGGAAATATTTTAGAATAGTAGTGTCAATTAAGTTTTCGCTATGATTCAAAGACAAATTCTTCCTTGTTATGTAATGAACTGTAATCAAAAAATATCCACATTACTCCATCATTCTGCAATTATCAAATACTGTTTGGGCTGCAAACAAGGATTATTACGGTCAGATGGAGCTCTTAGAATGTAATGAATTGTTGGTTAATTAATTTTATTCATAAAATTGTAATCTAGAAATTTTTGAATCTTGCTTTAGGAGCAGTTCTTTTAGCTTTATTTAGAGCTCTCTAGGGCATTATCTGTTGGAGCCAAGGCAGAGATCTCCAGCATTTTGAAATAGTCTAGACTGTGTAGATAAACAAGCCAGATTAATATTAATCTATTTTGTACTGTACCAAAAAGTAATAATGCCAATCTCTACCACTTTATTATTTGCTACTGGAGCGCTATTAATTTGGAGTGTCAGAGGATGCAAGCTATTCAACTGTCTTTATCTCAAAAACCTGCTAATTAGGAGACAGCTATTAGAATCGTTGTGTTCACTCAGCTGAAATAGTGTTGGTGAGTCACTCTATATTTCAGCTATAGGCCTCATCATGAAAATAAGGCGTGGCATTATTACAATCGGATGACTCTTTCCAAAGGCAAATGTAAAGCTACAAGACTGTGGCAGAACAAAACAAAACAGGAAGATTTGGGGGATCTCATGTTTCCCATTGTCCTTATCTATTCGTTTGGACTGCATTCAACTGAAAATACTTGCTCTGCTTTCTTCAGTTAACTTTGATCTTCTCTTAATCCCAGCTCCTCCTAGCCACTGCTTGCATCCTCACCATTTTCAGTTTTTTTGTCTCTGTTTCAGCACACTGTCTTCTGCATTTAAAGGTATAGTGGTCTATAGGCTTACATTACATCTTTTTTTTTCTTTTTTTTTACTGTGCTCTGACTTGAGGCTTTCAGACTTTCATTCCAGCTGTCATTAGAAGGGTAGGCAGAAATCCCAGATCACTTCGTGCACCATTCTTGCCTGTTTTCCACTTTTAATGAGGCTTATCACTTTTGGGGATTCTCTGCTCCTTCTTCCCCTCTCTTCTATCTGCTTCTTTTTCTACCTTTGATTACTGCTTTAGTGTCTTGCAGATCCTTTCTATTATATCAGCTTTTACCAGGTGCACCTTGTCAGGACTGCACTTTTTCAAAAAAAACCCCAAAAATCCAAACAAAAAAAATCCCACCCACCAACCTTCAGAGTTATTGCCACTTACAGTGCTTTGGTTCACAAAGCATGCAAACTGCATTTCCCTCAAATGAGCTTAAATGAGGAGATGTGCTCCAGGACCATATTTCACATGTGCCGGCTGGTGGGACTAAACTGGGAATAGTTCAGAGTACTCCCTAATCCCCCAAAGGCATGTAGTTTAGATGCTGCAGTTTCAAAAGTGAGACAAACTCTACATTACTCCTGTCGGGCCTTACTACTTGCAAATGTAAATGTAGCCTCAGGAGTTTCAAAGAGCCTTTGACACTTTCCCCTTTCTTTGATAAAGCTCTTGCCCCTCTCTTCGTGACTCACCACTCTGTGCAGAGTGGTCATAGTCTTGATGTTTTCACACTTCAAAGAGTGGAAATGGAGGAAATTAATTTATGAGGGGAAATAAAGCAATTTTAGAGGCACTTGATCTCCAGTGTCAGTAGGACAAGCTGGCCCCTGCCCAGAGCTCGATGAATTCTGCCACATGTGCAGGATGACTCCCAACTGGGACAGAGCAGCCTAGTCTGTAATGGGAATGATGGGTCTCTAGGTGGGAGTAGGGCTGCCGTTACTGGCTCTAGATGGAGGTTTAGTGGAACCAAGCTTATCCACCTCCCTTTCTCAATCCCTGGATATCCTGCACAAGCTTATTTAAAAGGCTACCAGAAAGTACCTAGGTACTGCACAGAAATGATAAAGCTTCATCCCAATGTAATTCTCACTACATTTTCACAATTTTGCATAAGTGCCTCTAAAATCAATCTAAAAACTTTCGCAGGAACACTTTGGAGAGGGTTGAAGTTCACTAAAAGAGTTGAAAGTGGACATTATGGTCCAGACAGTTTCAGCTGTCTCCAATTTCCATCAGCAGAGCTGCAAAACTCAGGTATCCCTGAGGGAGGTTTATGCTGAGAAATTGTTTGAAGTGTGTCCTTAAAGGAGCAACTTATGTAACAGCTTGTGCACAAGTGTACCTTCTCTGGTACAAACCTGGTTGCATTGAGAAGGCAATTTTCTTATGTTCAGATTATTACCACTTATAAGCAAGTGGCAGAGAATTGCGCCAGAATATAATTTAGGTATATCTTCACCATGAACTATGTTATTTTTCGAGTCTTATTGCATAATCACCTTCTTTTTTGCCTTCCCACTAAGTGATATAAGTAAATTCCAGAGCTCTTTCCCCTCACTGTACATAGGAAATTATTTACATTGAGTACTAGGTAAAGAATGTCATAATTTATATATTACAGTTCATATATAGTATAGCTTTTACTTATATATTATAAAGCAAATGAGTTATTTTGATTTGTTCCCTTTCTTTGTTTTGTTTGTCCTTGATAAAGCAAGTTCTTGTTTTCAAAGAGAATTTCTTATAAGTCAATCATATCCCCAGCCAGTCTGATTGCAAACTGTGGATTTGCAGCTCTGGTATTTGTTTTAAGACATACAATTACTTGAAATGGAGAAACCACTTCAAATCATGTACTGCTTTTAGTACAAAAATGAAAATACTTATTATGCTGTTAATATGAAACAGGCAATCTGTGAGCTGTAGAGATGCCATAGTCTAAATTTTTGTTGCT